AAGAGCATTTACATGATGTTCTAAGAGTTCTGTCTGCCAGTTACATAAATTTCTGAATCAGGCAAATTGGATGGACAAAGAGGCAGATTTTGGTCTAACACTGTGTTGCTGCTCTGATCCTCTGTACTTAACACAGGTTCAGTTTCCTCTGGGGGAGGGCAGGGACAGGGACAGGACTTGTGTCTGTCTGTCTTTGCTGTGTGGGACACACTGGGAGAGGATCTGCTCAGTGTCCCTTGCTGTGGGAGCACATGGGGACACTGGAATGATCTGAATATTTTGTCACTTAATAAAAAAAATTTGTTTCTGTGACTCAAGCAAGTCAGATAATCCTTAGCAACAAGTTAGCTCCAGATAGTGCCCAACAGAAATGTGTTTTCCTGACCTCAGGTGACACTGGCTGAGGTGAGAAAGGCTTTTCAGACACTTGTGGCTGTGTCTGTAAGTGATGATGAATGGGTTTGTCAGGAACTAAAGAGCTTGAGCAGATCCCACCTGCACCCAGCTCTCCAGCAAATGAGAGTTAATGATCTTTGCTCTTTACTGACTTAGGTTACCATCAGAAAATCATCTCAGAATGGAAACAATCTGTAGCCTATCATCACTTCACTCACAGTTTTGCTCACACACACACAGATGATGTCTCAGGATGGTGTTCCAACAGACAAGATTTAGTACAACCCAGGGCTTACTCTGCTCTAACTGCATGTGCTGCTGGCCAACTTTTCCTTCATAACATCTTTTTGTTACCTGCATCTCTTTGGTGACTGAATTTTGTTGAACAGAAGCCTACATAACAAAATTTCAGATACTTTAAATCCTTATGAATATTAAGTGATGTTCTAAATTATCATAATTACCCCAATTCTGGATAATTCTATTCATCATTAAATAAGTATGAGTGATGTATTGGTGTGAAGTATTTTACTGGAAATAAAAGTACACAGCTAAAGATGTCTTGTTCAGCAGAACAATTAAGCAGGTGCTTGTAAACTGTGGATCAGATTGAAAATCCCTGCTAGTCAGAGGCATGATGATAAAACAGTGGCTGTCAGCCAGGAAGCTCAAATAAGGAAGCTGATCTGTCAGCTGAACAGTGCACATGGTTAACCTTCAGAACCAAGTGCCAAAACTGAAATGATGAATCTTTGTTGAGTTGATTTTATTTTTCTGAATGAAGCTCGCCCTGATTTTGCAATCTTTACTGTCCATGGGAACATGTGGAATCTGTTTGTCTTGCAAAATCTTCATGTGAAATGAAGAATTTCTCAATTAGATTTACTGAGCATAGTAACAGGCTCCTGCTGTAATTGTTATATTTTATTGTGGACAAACTGATTTGATTTTAGGCCTCTCTATTCAAAGAGATATTATTACATTTTAAAATGTGTACTGATCTCACACTCTCAGTGTCTCACTGTCTGAAGTGTGCAAAGTTTGCATGCCCTCCTCAGTCTAGAAGTAGAATATTTCCTCTGAGCTTACTGACAGTACTCCCAGCACTGATGTTTCACAGCAACCTCAGGAAGATTTGAAATGATTTGGCTCTGCAGTTCCAACCCCACATCCCTGCAGGAGCTGGCCCTGAGAAGATGAGGTCAGGGATGAGACATGCTGATAGCCAGGGCTTTGAAATTTCACCACTGCTGCTCCTGCTGGTCTAATTCTAAGAATAAACACTCTTGAGGGCTGTCAAACCACAGTCACTTTCACCAGTCTTACATTTTAACACCATGTGTTTATTTTCCTCTGGGTTTTTGTTTTATTTGTTTTTAAACCAGCAGTGGGTTTTGAACTCTACAGGCTGTGGAGAGAGGTAGGAACACACAGTAGTGTGTGTTCCTTGTGTGCACTGCTGGGGTGGCTTCTGAAGCAGCAATAAGTACTCTGAATTTTAGTTTGAAAAAATCTTAATTTGATTAATTTCATCCATATCTCCCAGCTGCTCTGCCTTTTGGGCTTTACCTCAGTGGTTTTGTGCCACTGGTCAATGGTAAGAACCACTTACTGATAGTGCTGACTGCCAGTCAGAGGGACAAAAGGAATAATGTGAATTTGGGCCTGACAGACAGAAGATGCTGCTCCAAATTTTACTTATTTCTTTAAATTAATGATTATATATCTTGTAATGGGGCTGGGAGCAGATTGGGATTGACATGAGGCGCTGAAGGAGATGCTGAGAGTTTTGAGAGAGGTATTTCTGTGACACACTGCCTCAGTTTATTAGGGCAGGTGAGCTGTACCCAGCTGCTCTGGGGGCTTGGGGTGTTAATGGACACCCCCAGGCGTGATTCATGTTGTTTACCCCAATAAACACCCCAGCTTTTCACTCCACAACTCAGATATTGTTCTGACCATTTTGAGAAACAGAACCTGTCACACCCCTTGGGCAGCTACAGGAGGAGGATGCAGGGTGATAAACAGCTCCAGATTCTCACAGAGCCTGACCTGGGTACCAAGAAGCCCCAGGGGGAGGAAAAATCAAAGAACTCACGTGGTCAGTGAACCTGAGGTGAAGCAGGTGTGTGCAATCCTTGGCTTATTACCTAAGTTAGCTGTAATTAATAAGCTAAAACTAATTGGCATCCTTGCAAATTAGCAAATATTAATTAAAAGATAAGATAGCAAGGTCAGGGAGGTGCATCTTTTTGGATGATAGGAGCCTGTTCAAAATCTAGGAACACTGAGCACTACTAAATTGAGAATGTGGGAAAGAAAGGTGTGGCTATAAAAGATAAAAGTAGTTTCATCTGAAAATAGCTTTAACTTCAAAAAGCTACCCAGAAAAAGTGCAGCTTCTGCCAATGTGGACAGGATGTCCAAAACAGCACGTCAGGCATCCTTTGGAGATGTTTCACTCCTTAAATAATGGTAAGGATGGGTTAAGATGGGAGGTGCCTCTATTGTGAGCTCCTAAAAACCCCACAGGTTACAGGAAGAGCTGGAGCCAACTTCCAGAGCAGCCAATGATCTCTTCATCTGTAAAGCTACACACTGCTACTGCAGTGTTTTTATATTGAAATACACACAGAAATATCTGTTATTTCCCCAGGCATCATCCTTCATTTTGGGGACATTTTGTCTCACTTGGAGAATGGTAAATTTTGTTTCCTTTTCTCTCAGTGGTCCTTACAGGGATCCCATACATTTTGGGATTGTCTGAAAGCACTGGAGTCTGTTGGGAGCCTTGCTGGCCTGGATGTGTGCCAGAAAATATATTGGCTGAATCCTGAAATCACAGCATCTAAGATGATTGCTGCAACCCCCTCATCCCTTTGTTTAGGCTGAAACTCCCCAGTGCCCTGGAGGTATCTGCTGTGTTTAAGTGGCTGGGAAAGTAGAAAATAATAGCAGCTCATAGATCAATTATAACATAGCATGAGAAAGTCAGCCACATGTTATAAAATTAAAATAAACCAATTGGATTTGTCTGCCTGAATTCTGAGCCTTCACTGTGAGTGGGGGACAGCAGGATTCAGGCAAATTTTATTTCCCAATTCACCCTGAAGATATTAATCCTTCCACAGGCAATTTTCTTCTGTGGAAGATTTTCACTGTTTCAGAATGGCTGTTCAGTGGAAAAATCACTTGATACCAATTGCTTGGTACTTCCTCTCTTTTTTCAACAAACAAATGCCCATTTCTGTTAATTTAATGGCAAAATCTTCCTCCAAGAGCTAGCTGGCTCTTAGGGGGAGAGCTTTTCTAATTGTGTTGTGGAGATGAAGTACACAAATAATCTAGGTTATTTCAGCCTCTGTTACCCAATCTGACAAGAACACACTGTGCTATGATTAATTCTGTGCTGCTCTGTTATATATGAGATTATCTTCAGTTCATTTTCTGTTGCACTGACTAATCATAATTACCACACATGGAATAATTGCAAGTACTGGAGAATTGTGATAGTTTTGCTGGGGCTTTTTTTGCATACAGAGTCAAGAACAAATAGCTTATACTATAGAAGCAATTGTTTCCTTAAACTCAGACCTTCTCTTTGTTAGAAAATGCTTAAGAACTGGGACCTTTATGCACCCACAGGCTGGCTGGAGTAATCATAGTGAACCTCCCAAAAGAGTGTAATGCCTCAGAAATCACAGATTTGGGTGTTGCCAATCAGATACCAGTTCAAAGAAGTATCTTGGAAAGGCTTATTCAGAAATGTCTAGGTTTGCTTATTCTCCACTTTGTAGAGAAGAAAGGCATAAAGGACTCACAGAACACCTCAGCTGCAAATATATCTTAAACTCATATTTGTTTACTTCAGGAGAATTTTATTCTCCTAAAGGAAGAAATGCTGCATACTGAGTTAAAAGTCAGGAATTCAAGTTTTCTTGTGAAATATAAACCTTAAAAAATTAATTAATTAAAAACCTGTGGATGCTGCAGAGAAATTTCAAAAAATATTAGTAAATGGCTTAGCCAGTACTTTGTCCAGGGACTGGGTCTTAAAAGGAACTGGTAGTTCAGGATCCCCCCAGTTCTGCCTCTGCCCCACCAGCTGATGTTCATCTTCACTGAGGGGACACAAAGTGCCCTGTGCGTATACAATTCACCAAACTCTTCATGATTATTGTTGGAAAGACTTTGGGTTGCTTTTGAAGTGTATTTTTTTTTAGTTTGAATTTTTAGATTAGAAGGCAAAACCAGGCATATTTGGGTTATTGTATTTCTATCTCTGATTGGCAAATCTGCACATTACCTTACACAAAAGCTTCATTCTGGTTAAAAGTCTTTGAAACTTGAAACACTTGAAAATGTCATTGCATTGGCACATGTTGCTGGTCCACTGGGAATGAAGCAGCCTTGAATACATTTTCTAAGCTATGAAGCATAATGTACTTAATTAGAAAGATCAGAACAAGTATCTAAACTATCACTTTCCTCCTTTGCTTAAGGCTGTGATTCAGGGCTCTTATCGCTTGTAATTATAATTATATCCTCCCCTCCTCCCAGTTTGCTGGAATTTACTGTCTCCTAGGAAAGGCAGCAGATTGGTAATGGGCCCCTTCCTCAATCACTGGAGTTCACATAGTGATGGACTGAGGTAAAATCAAAAGTTGATGACATTTCTGCTTGGTCCATTAATTTGCCAATTGCAGCCATTAAGAATAAAACTTCTTTCTCTCTGGCTATTCAGGCAGAGCCTCTGACTCAGGGAAAACTGTGGCTCAGTCCCACAGAGTTTTTGGTAAAACTTAAATTTAGAGCAAAAAAGCACAGTATCATATTTTGAAAGAGTGAACTTTTGAACAAGGAACCACTTTAAATAATGAGAATAACATATTACACTGTTTTATGTCTCATTAGCACAATGTAGGATGACATCTGCAAAAGCTGCAAGAAGCTTCTTTATGCCCTGGCAAACTATCTGTCATTAAACAGGGCTCTCACATTGTCTAAAATTCATCTTTCCATTTCAGTCTCTGTTGGAGCAGGAAGTTGAATAACAGAATTTTACCAGACACTTTTCATAGAGGGTTTGCCACTATTAAAAATAAATGAACTTTCCCCCCACTCCTGCCTCTAAATACCAGTTCTTACTTCATAAAAAACATGAATGTGTAAAAAATAGGATCATGGAGCAATTATTTATGTCAGGAGTTCCCTACATTAGCCATTTCACATTCACTATTGTAAAGCAGATGTCAGTATAGAATTATCAATACTCCTAAATTATAAAATGGGTCTTGCTCCTAATCCTAAAGGCAACAAAAAGCTTTTTAAATGATGGTTTGAGAAGGGAGGCCAAAATCAAGTCCTAAAGTCTTTTAAGACAAATGTGGGTGTTCTTGGTCTCTCCCAGTGTCCCTGCATAGGAGTTATGTGGTGAAAATAAGGAACATTTTCTGCATGGAGGCAGACCAGGACCTGCTGGAGAAAAACCATCCCTGGGCTCTGAACACAGAAGCATTGCTTGTGATTTTCTCTCTCTCAGGATGATTTTAGGATCAACCTAACTCTGACAGGTTCAGGCTGTGAAAGACAAGGTGCACTGGTACAAATGTACTAGGAGTGCAGAGGCTTGAATAAATTATTTGCATCAACTGTACTGATGTTGCATCAAAAATTGTTGTAGAGATTAGGAAAATAATGTTTCTGAACCTTTCAGCCCACCATGTGTGTGGGAAAATGGAAAATTTGCAGCTTTCCCATTAGCAGCCTAATGATGTTTTTATGAAAGCAAATGAAAGAAGCAGAGCTATGTGAAGGTAGTGGTTCCAGACTCATTATTCAGGCTTTGTTCTGTAACCTTTCTGTAACCTTTCTAGATTGACTCTGACTTCCTCTTCCCTGTCTTTTTCTTTTCTTTTTTTTTTTTTTTTTCTCCACTCCTCCCCTCCTCTTTCTTGCTTTTGAACATGAGATTCTCTTCAGATTTTTAGCATTTGTGGGTTTGTGGCTTGCTTAGCCCATCCCTCAAGTCCTCAGGAACTTTTATGAGTCTCTAGAAGTTTCATGGGGAGTACAGCTGCTGTTGATTGAGATTCTTTAACAGCTTGGAAGAGAGTAATTTATGACATCAATCCAAACTATCCAATTCTTTGTGGGGATTTTAGCAGGCAGTGATGAACCATGTCCTTTTCTGATAGGAATATTGACCATAACCCATTAAACAGCAAATCATGCAGAGACAAAAAGGGAGGCACCTCCTAATATTTCTTGGTGTGCTGCAGCACAGAATAGGATCTCTCACAGAAAGGTAGAACCATACAAGGAGGATTGTGTGGGAATTTCTTGCATTTTTAACTCCAGGGGTCATTCAAAACTTGATGCAGTAAATGAGTCATGCTGACAGTTTTCTCAATTTCTCAATGATAAAATTAACGACAAGTCAGACTCAGAGCCATGAACTACATGAAAACTACACAATGTTACTGATCTGGTGAAATCAGCACAGCTCCTCTGTCACTTCAGGCCAGCCAAGGCACTGAATGTGACAGATTTTGTGCATTGGCTGGGGAAACCAACACAACACAGGAATAAGGAGTAAAATAAACAATAACCTGGGGATGTATTTGCATCACCTCTTAGGTATTCCAATTTTTTTTCCTAGTAGTGTATCTGCCAGTTAATCCTTCCAGTAGAGCTGACTGCTAATTCATATTTTGGTGAAAGCCTGAGCTGATGGAGCAGAAGCTATGATCTGGTCCAGGGAGAACTTAGATGAGCACAGGGTTTGATTTTTCTGCCACTATTTATTGCTTTCCATCAACAGATCTCTTCACTAAACTAGCAAAGAGGTGGGACAGAATTGTAATTGGTTCCTGTGTGATTCTCACTGCAGGAGGACTGTGCCCTATGGACTGTCTAACTACAGAGGCAGCTTCAGAGGCAAGAGGAGCACAGGGCAGGGCCAGAGCGCTCCCCAGCCCTCGCTGCGCTGCTCCTGCTCGGATGCCCGTGACAAGCAGTGTTTGCAGTTCTGCAGAAGAATGCAGGACAGAAGGAGGTGAGTCACTTTCCCTGTCACTGCTACCTGGCCACATGATGAGGCATTTCGTGGAGATAAATTAATTAAGATGCATTTATCAAGAGGAAGTGATTAAAAGGTATTGATTTTAAAGAAACCTCCCCTCTGCAGTTGTGGTGGGTTAACCCTGGCCAGCAGCCAAGCACTTCCACTGATGCTTGTTCACTTCCCCTTCAGTGGGATGGGGGAGTGAACAGGAAGAAAAAAAAGCAAGAAAACTCCTGTGTCACATCACAGTTTAATAAGTGAAGGAAAGAGGCCAGAGCCAGCCAGTACTGCTTGGAATTTTCTTTTTTTCTGTTTCTTTTTATGATGTGGTGATTTTGAAACAGCAGATCTGTCCAGTTAGGGGCATGCTGAACATTGCACTGATCTAGAATGTTTTATGCAGTCTAACAAAGAGCATGAAATTGTCATTTCATCTATGGGGACATTGATGAGAACACAGTGACAAGTTTAGGCAATCTCTATTCTACAGAAATCATGGATCAATGAAAAAGACAGAGGAGAAAGACCAATGCAGGGAAGAGGAACACAATTTTGTTCAGTAGCACAGAGAGTCTGGAGGATTCTGAACAAATCAGGTATGTTACAGATGCTTAATGTTACAAAGAAATATTCACTTTCCATAAATGTTCTTTGTATGTAGAATCCTTAATTATTTTGACTGAATATTATCACTCCCTCCCTAAATTAAGGACAAAATTTGGCCCATGAATTGTTTGGGGTTTTTTTTCCCCTAATTTAATTTTTAAAATAAACTTTACTATACACAGAACTGCTACAGCCTTTCTTGTGTTGATGGAACCCCTTCAAAAGTTGGATTATTTGGCTATAAGCCAATACATATTTTAGCTTTTTTTTTAGGACAAGGGCTGTTCCTGTCTATCATGTTTTTCCTCATTTAGCACTGCTGCAAATTAAGCTACACATCCCAGTGCAGTGCTCCAGTGAAAGCTGAAGTGTTAAGGTAAAGAAACAGCAAAAACTGTGGAAGAAGTATCTGGAGGGAAAAGTAAATCTGCTTTTGTTGTCAGGTATGAGGAGGTTACTGTGAGCCAGTAGCCAGTTTCAAATATTACCACTTCTAAAGAAGTCACACCAGTACCCCAAATTCTTTGCTATGAAGGGAAACACTTGGATTAGAAGTCCCCAAGCTGAATTTGTTGCTGTGATTATTTGAGCAGAGCTAATTAGAGAATGGTGTAGAACTCACTCTGTACACATAACAAAGGAGGGCAACCACAATTATCTCAGCTAACAGGGACTTAGTGCTGAATATTCAACAGTTTGGCTCTATTTGTTTGTTGCTTTGTTTTCTTTAAAGCTTTAACATTTACTTGCTGGAGCTCAGAAACAAGAACTTAAACTACAACTCTCCCTTGAGATGGACAAACTTGATGCTTCAGTGTGATGCCAGTGGAGAATTCAGCAGTAGGCAACACTTCCATTTCAGCAGTGCCCCTCTGAGGGCATGGGAGCCTGTATGAAGAAGCTTTTCTCCCCTCGAGAGAGCCTCAGAAAAGGATAAACCTTTACCATGTAACCTGGCAGGGAATGTATCACTATTGAGGAAAACTTCAAAGGCAGACCCAAACTTCAGCAATGCAAAGCTTCAGGAAACGTTTTTCGCTGTGATTTAAACAAGTACAATAGAAACTGTTCCACTCACTGTTTGCTCTGTGTCTGAAGATTCCATCCACAGTTCTGTGCAGGCAGCTGCAAGTGGAGAATGAGGAGAGTTAGAGGGAGATTGCCTCTACATCAGTTCTCATTAAGAATAAACAGATACAAAATATTTCTCTTGTTAATGTATGCAAGCCTGAATCATCATATTGTAACTTTGTGGCAGATGTTTAAATGACAGTATCTATGCAGAATAAATATGAATGGCTAATATAAATACTATTATAAACTATAGCAAGTTAAGAGTATACATTGAGTATTCAATAGATTACCTAATTTAGGCACAAGTTATTCCTGCACTTGGAAGTTCCATTCAAACACACTTACAGTGATTATCTGGGGATGCACTGTTGCTGGTGAACAGAACTTCAGTGATTCATCCCAAAGAATTTTCCTACAGATGCAAGGCTAGGACTGTGGAACTTGATGCCATCAGAGTCATTTCTGTGCTGGCCATTTGCTGTGCCAGGCCCCTACAGGTCACAGCCACAGCACATCCCCTGGGCTTTGCACAGATCCCATTATCTCTCCATTGAAACACCAGCACCAAATAACCCAGAAACTTGGCAATAAGGATTAAATCCAACCCTGGACATTTTTCAGTGTAAACGATTTCTTCAGAAATTATGGACTTATTTTTGCTACAAGGATACAAGAGTAAGCCAAGGAAAAAGAGTAACTTTTGCAAATCCTGTTCTATATTATTTAAAAGGGAGGAAAGCCCTTACTTGTGACATTACAAATTTTTTGGGGGTTTATTGACCTTAATGCAGACTTTCCCCAGGGCACATAGGTTAAACAACAACCCCCTGTTTTTAAATTATATTTTAGAAGAAGAAAGATGGAGACCAAAGGAAAAGTGAAAAGAAATCAACAGTAAAAATATCTATATAGGGCTTAAACCAGTGGTAATAGTTTTTGTTCAAAACAAGAAAGGGAGGTCTTTGCCAAAGCATATGATATATTTTATATATATGTGGATATATTTCATAAATAAATTATTACAGTTATAAAATTAAATATATCTTTCAGTTATTGCATTTGTATCAGTTTCTTACTTGCTGTGTAACTGATTTTGTACATTTATAGAAAATAGATTATTTATTGTATAAAACCACTAGACACACTATTTTTTGGTATTCTTTTTTAAAAGACATTGTATAGTTTTGGGGTTTTTGAAAAAGAATCAGGCTTTGTTATGAAGAATGCTTAATGTTCCTAATGTTCCTTTGTGACCAAAACCTGGAAATTTCTTCCCCTGACAAATCCCTCCACACAGGTCACACAGCTTGCTGCCTTTAAGAGGTTGATAATTCTCCTGACAGTCTGGGAATTGAGTAGGAAAACAGGAGAGCAAACTCTGTGCTAGTAATTATGCATAAAAAGTCACGTTTCAATTTTGGGTCCTTTCGCTATAAATGTAACCCTCATCTGTCTCCTAATCCTGGGACAAACAAGGCAAAAGTTATTTGTCCTGAGAGTTCTTTATGTGGCCAATGTCCCTGGAGCTCAGCTCCAGTCCCAACCACGTCCCAGGGCTGAGCAATCCTCCAGAGCCTCCTCAGCTCAGCTTTTACACGACCTGCTCAGCCTGTGCTTGGAATTCTCCTGTCTTCCCCCATGTGAATTCAATTTAAATGTTCCATTTGAAGATGCATTCACACCTTCCCCAGTCCCAAATGCTTTAATTTAATTTTCAACAATCACAAAAAAAGAGAAATTTCTAATTGGGTTCTTTCTTTGACATGGAGGCAGATTTAGCCCTTGAGTGGTGGGCTACAGATGTTACTGTTGTGTTTTCTCCTTAGGAAAGAGAAATCCCCCCTTTTTTTTTTCCTATATGAATTCCACATTGAAGGGGTTTGGTTTTGGGACTCTGGTGCCAATGTACCAGTTAATGTGAAAATCAGTCCATTCTGAATACAGCAAAAGAAAGAAAATGAGAAATAATGTTGTGTCAAGTTCAGAAGAAGGAAAATTTAACTGTAGATATTTCCAAATAAACCTATAAACCATAGAATTTACCTGAAAGTTGTGTGTGCTGGATTCTAGCTTTGAACTATCATTGATCCATCTGGGAACAGTTAACAACCATGAGAGTTTTTACTTAATTTCATGTTTATAGGAAATGTCACCTGTAGTATTTCTCATTGACTCACTTTACCTAATTTTTAATTTGTACTAGAAGGTGTTAAGCTAATTGGAAGCACAACTCTTTAAAAGTCATACATAGAAATAAACTAATTTACAACTAATATATGTTTTTAATTAAGAAACAACTCTTAAAATCTGATAAATCATAAAAGGGTTATTTGCAAAAGTTAGAATTAAAGGCTACATCTTTCAACATGTAATGTTAGCATAGTTAGGTGTCCTCAGATTCACTCTTGTTCTAGAATATTATTTTGAGGACATTTGTACTTTTACATTTGTAACAACAAATTAGTTCCAGTTCTTACTCTACTCAATGTAAAACCATATATGTACAAATCTGCTATAATTCTGCCAGAGTTCCATAGCACTCATTCTAATTCTCAGTACTAAAAGTTCAGTTTTGTGTTGTTAGTAGCAATAAAAACAATAAATGATCAAAAGCACAGAAAACAACGTTGAAAGGAGCTTTGGAAGAATTTAAGTTTTTATCCTCAAGGAGATGAGAGTGCAACCCCCATGCAAAGGGCTGTGAGGGAGAGGAGAGCCCCATTGTGTTCCCAGAAGGAATTCAGGGAGCTCAGGGCTCACAGCAAAGCCCTTCAGGTGAGCTCAGCAGCAGAAGGGGGGAAGTGCCGTGGAACAGAGTCCCCATCACCAGCTGCACCTCCCCTCCCTGGCTGTGCCTGGGGACAGCCACAGAGAGACTGGCAGTGACAGGCAGGCAGTGACAGTCAGGCAGTGACAGACAGGGACAGGCAGGCAGTGACACTCAGACAGTGACAGTCAGACAGTGACAGTCTGGCAGGGACAGACAGGCAGGGACAGACAGAGAATGACAGTCAGGCAGTGACAGTCAGAGAATGACAGTCAGACAGTGACAGACAGTGACAGGCAGGGAGAGTCAGGCAGGGACAGTCTGGCAGTGACACTCAGACAGTGACAGGCAGACAGTGACAGGCAGGGAGAGTCAGGCAGTGACAAACAGTGACAGACAGTGACAGGCAGTGACAGTCTGGCAGTGACACTCAGACAGTGACACTCAGACAGTGACACTCAGACTGTGACAGTGAGTGACAGTCAGACAGTGACAGACAGTGACAGTCAGACTGTGACAGTCTGGCAGTGACAGTCAGTGACAGTCAGACTGTGACAGACAGTGACAGTCAGACAGTGACAGTCAGACTGTGACAGTCAGACTGTGACAGTCAGTGACAGTCAGACAGTGACAGACAGTGACACTCAGACAGTGACAGGCAGACAGTGACAGGCAGTGACAGTCAGACTGTGACAGTCAGACAGTGACAGTCTGGCAGTGACAGACAGGCAGTGACAGTCTGAGGGGACACCAAAGCTGGAAGGGGCCTTGTCCTCCTCCATTGTTGGGTGATTGTTCCCATCCCCAGAGCAGAGCTCATCCCACTCCCTGTCCTTTACAATAAATGGCTCCTTGTTGCTGTGCCTGCTTTTGGGGACACCATTCTGTTGATTCTCCCTACGTGCAAAATTCTTGTAATGCCTGGAAGCCAAGTTCATCTACAGATCCTTCTCCTTTATGTCATCCCTGCATTGATCCCCCACTGGCACCATCCAACATCGTTCACACAAACTCAGATGCTGTTTTTAGGAGCTGGCTGTCAGAGCAGCCAGGCAAAAATAACTCTGCTGTGACAGATTGCTGAGGACAATCATGAACATTTGATTTAAGACAACAAAATCGTTTGTCTTGACAAAAGTGAAATGCAGGCTGAATTAAGACTGAGTAATGTAACTAAAAGTCATCATTAGAAAAGGAACAAATTCTATCCATGTGAGCATTAAATCTTTCAATCCACAGCTTGAAATCTATTGGAAGAGTAATCAAGGAAAATTGCAAACAGATGACTCTGGAAACAATGTTTGTTTTCACTACTAGAGTTTTACAATGCATAATATATAACCTGATCTGGAGAGCTTTATGCTACAAAGAAATGTCAGGATTGAGAGATTGGACATGCTAAGCAAGTTAAACAAAGCATATTGCACCCTCTGTTTGCCTTGCAGTTGTATCTTCCAAACTTTGCTTAAAAGTACATTTTAAGGAGTAGTTTGACTTCCAAGGTTTTCAGCAGTGCTTCAGAGGACAGATGTGCCTTGATGTGCACTTCAAAGCTATCTCTGCAAAGGAGGGATCCATGCAGATTGTGGGTAGCACAACTGAGCTTCAAGAGAGGTTTGGGTTGAGGTTCAAGCCTTGGCTCCAGTTTTGCCATGGGAAACATCTCTCTGAAGTCTTGGGCTCTTTCCACTGGCCCCAGTGTTCACATCAAACACCCCTCCCCTTATCTAAGTCCTCTGGATTAGTTCCTTCCTTTTATTTCAGTGGGATCCATTGTATAACAGACCAGGTGCTGGTCATTTCCTGAACTCACCACTTTCAGAACTTAGGGAGATGGGTAGGTCTAAAAACTCCTTGTGCACCTCTGTGTTACTTTTGGGATCTAAATATCTTTTCCATGTGCTATCAGTGGTCATTGGTAAGTGGATACCTTGGCTCACACTTCCTGCAGATGTCTGCAGCAACATAAATGGAACTGACTGAAGTTTGAGCCCTTTAACAAAAAAGATTAGAAGACTTTGACATTCAGACTCCATTTTCCCCATAAATATTTTAAAAAAATTCCTATATGGACAAGATAATGTAGATACTGAAGGGCCAACATGTTAAACAATGAAATAACCTTTGAGAAGGTGAGGTGTTTTTTTACCTGTTACAATGGCAATTTCATTAAACTACAAGTCACATTTCTTAAGTAACTATTTCTGCTGAAGCTGTTTCTCAGAGTGTGAAACAGCTTTCCCTTAGGTTACTGAGTATTTATGTGTTTTATTAATGGTACTTTTGCCACAGCTTTCCAGTAAATCTTTGCTCTACTGCAACAAATTATAATAACTGTAATTTTTTTATAGTTCCTTTTGATTTAGCTGTCTTGTTTTTACAATCACTCCTCTCACCCCCACCACAAAGAACTGACTGAACTTGGAAATGTTTTAGTGTCTCACTGCTTCCCTGTGGTGTTCCAGGCCTGGCAATCTGTATTGCTCTAGAGAAGAGCTGCCTTCATTTACCACTGCAGGCCCTCAGTTATGCAAATACTTCCAATGCAGATGTGAAGAGGGTGGGAGCCTTTTGTCATTAAAAAATAAATGTGCAAACTATTGTAGCAATATAAAATATATATTGAACGGCTAGTGCACGAGGTGAGCTACAAAACCACAGAAAAGCAGATGTAAAAATCAAAGCCCAGAGGCTCCATTAGAAGATTCCTGGAACTATGCATATATTTATTCAATTCTGATATCATTAAGATGCAGATCCCAAAGAGATGGTTTTTAAATCTGTAGTTTGTTTCCCCATATTGATCACAGAAGAGGAATCCATTAATGTCACAATGAAGTCAGTTTCCAGCTCCTTCTGGTGTCAATTTGGATAGTCATGGGTCAGCTGAAGGTCACATTTTCAGTGGTTTTAAGACACTACAACTGAGAACCAGATTAAACCTAAGCATTTGAACTATTAAATGTAAAAATTTTCTTTATACAAATCTGCTCATGAATTAATACATTCAAAACACCTGTACCAGTTCCCAAGGGTTATCTTTCATTAACATTCTTCCTTTAAGCAAAGTTCCAAAGAGCTTGGATACCCTGTATCTGCAGGAGCACAGAAGAAAAATGAAAACTGGAGGAGAGGAAATCCTGCACCAGAGTTCAATAACCCCCGAATCATAGTTCTGATTCTGCTATCTCTCTATGGGATCTTGGGTAAATTACTCAGGCTCTTATTGCAGACACTGACACAAGGGCAAGACCCAAAGCTGTGTTTGTGTTGAGATCCCTGCAGAGCCAGTCCTAAGCCATGCTTCTCTCTAAGTAACATTTTTACTCATAAATGCTTCTGGTCCTCTTTGAGAACACGTGAAGGATCAATGTCTTTTGGTGGAACTGTCTCTGCACCTCTAATTACTTTCAAAGAACAAAATGTCCCTAAAATACTACCATAAAGTACACAGAGGGGCATGCACACAGCAAGCAGTGTTTGATTCTGGTGGTGATTCAGAGCAGAGCCAAGGCATAGCAAAGTTCTGAGTTGGTCAAGGCTGCCTGTGCACTCAGACATGCATTGGCTGCCTTGGAACAACCCAGTATTGCTTTGGCTGCTTGGCTCCAGTCGCCGCGTGCCTTTGAGCAGAATGGCCAGAAACACTTTTTTAAAAGAACACTGAAATGTTATTACCAATCTAAACTGAGGAGCTGTAGCATGAAAGGGGCATGAAGTGGCATGAAAAACTCACTGGCAATGCACATTCCCTGCAAAAATCCCAAAAATCCCATGAATGTCCATGGTGTTCACTTGGCCAGGTGCTCAGAAATGTCTCAATATTGCTACTGGGACCAGTGATATTGAAATGCACATCCCACTTGCTGGAGTGCATTGTCTGAGGTGCCCTTGGTGTAGGGCCCTGCACATCTCCTGAGGGGCAGCCCAGGAGGTGGCACCAGCCAGGCTGTGCTCGCCAGGGAAGGGGACAGTGCGGGCACCAGGCTCTGTCTCAGGAGATGAACTTCCATGAACTGTGCTACCCAAACCAAGGATTCCTGACAAGGGCGTTTTACTGCACCACTGTTTATTTCATTGATGTTGCAAATGTGTTCTCCCAAGTATCACAGAGCAAAGGGAGTCCACGTGTTTTACCAGTTACATGCACTGCCTTCATAACAGTTCTCAAAGCCTTTATTTCCACATATGCAGCACTATGATTTATTTTATTTAGAAAGGCAATGTCCATTGCCAAACTCTTTCTACTGTGCCTGTCTCACTGTGTGAAAAACA